GAGCTGTTGATGTTGGAGTTTAAATCCCTTAGCTTGGTTTTTGTTTATCCTGTCTGTCCTTTGTTCCTCTGACCCCTTCCTTCCTCTTTCAGGGATAATAATTTAGTATCTTTATAGTTTTTTCTTTCTCTTTTATTTTTTTTTTTTTTTTTTTTTTTTTTTTTTTTTTTTTTTGTGGGGGTTGATACCAGGAATTGAACTCACTGTGCTTACCAGGCAGGCACTGTGCCAGTAAATGATACCCTCAACCGCAGCTCTTTTCCTTTCTTTTAAAAAAAAATATGTTTATGTCTCTTTATGTTTTAGTTTAAACGCTAGATTAGAATGTGCATCGCTAATTTATGATAGTCGGCCTTCTAAGGATGTGCCAAAGCGTTAAGGACCTCAGGGCAGCACACGTGCTGTGATGCTCCTGCCTTGTGTTGTTTTATATAAATTCTACTTTATATTGCTTTTACTTTAGACAGTTTTTGCTTTCTAAAAGAGATTGAAAGATACACATACACATACACATACACATAATTGTTTAAAAGTGTTCTTGCTGTTTGCTGGCGAATTTACCTTCTCTGCTGTTCGTTTCTTCCTGGAAAGCGGTTTCTCTCTGCAATCATTTCCTTCCAGCCAAAAGAATTGCTTTCGGCCTGCGTCTGCCAGAGACTCATTCCTTCAGCTTTCAGCTGTTTGAAAATGTATTCCCTTCCCTTAGACTTCCCGAGGCTGTTTGCACCAGATGCGGGGTGTGAGGCGGCTCTTGCCGTCAGCGCAGGGGTACTGCGTTCCCTGCCTCCTGCTTTCTGATGAGAGGCAGCCGCCTGGACAGCTTCCCTGCCTGGCCTGTGTTTCCATCTGGCCGCTTTGAGTATTTCCCCTTATCTTTTCAGCGGGTTGACCCCGATACACTTTCATGTTGGTTTTCTTTGTTTTCTGCTGGAGGGCACTGACCTTGGATCTGCAAATTGATTGTATTCATCAGTTTTGAAAAGTTGCTCGGCCATGTCTTGTCAGTCAGTGTATTTTTGTTCTATTCTTTCCTGTTTCTGAAACTCCACTTATATTTATACTCAGTTTGTTTTGGTCTCACAAACCTCAGATGTTTCATATTTTATTTTCCATTATTTTCTTTCTTTTTAAAAAAGTTTGGGTTTCTGTCGAGCTGACCGTGCTCAAGTTCACAGGTTCTTTCCCTTCCTGTGTTCAGCTTGCTGATTAGCCCATCAAAACAGTTGTTCCTGGCTAAGATGTTTCATGTCTGGAATTTGTATTTGCCTTTTAAAAATAGTTTCTACACCACTGAAATTCTCCATCCCCTCTATGTATGCTGCCTGCCTTTTCACCCAGTTCTTTGTGTGTGCTGTTTTTGGAGATTTAGCCCATTGAGCCATATCACTAGCTCAATTATTATTTTTTTAAACTTAATTTTGAGGCAGGAGCTCTTTGAGTTGCCCAGGCTAGCTCAAACTTGTGATCCTCCTTCCTCAGGTCCTGGGACCACAGAGGTGCTCCACCACGCCCAGGACCACCAGGTCACTGAACATGTTTGTCAGTCATTTTAAAGGTCCCGTCAGAGAACTCCCACATTCAGGTCCTCTCTGGGTCTTGCTTTTAGACTCTTCTTGCCAAGGGCCACATGTCTGGCCATATCACACACCTGATGGTTTGTTAATGACATGGCAGATGTTGTGTGGATAAGAACCAAGGCCACGAGTGGCTGCAGTGGGGCTGGGTTGTCAGCCTGGCCCCTAGTTGAACTGGCCAGGGCTGTGCTGTTTGCCACTACTTAGGGCCTCCGTGGGGCGGGCGATGAGCACCTTCCCTCAGGTGGGACTTGGGACTTGGATCTGAGTGGCTGACTCGCTTTTGCTCCGCCCACAATAGTCTTGGGAGGTGCCCTGAGGTCTCAGGCCTGCGCAGGTCTCCCTCAGCGCTGCGCTCCTGCGCAGATGCCAGTGCGCTGCTGAACTCCACTGTGCTGTTGTCCCTGCGCTGTTGTTGTTTTTTAATGTATTTAGAATAGGTTCTCACTACAAAGATCGAACTTGTAGTGAGCCTTCCGGCTTTTCTGCCTCCCGCACGCTGGGATTACAGGAGTGCTCCACTGCGCCCATTCTCAATCTCACCTCAGGGCACCCCGGGGGGCGGAGCCAGGGCGGGGCCAGGGCCGGCGCGGCAGGCTGGGTCGAATCCAGGCCCAGTCTGCCTAAGCAGCCGCGTTAATCCGCCCAGCCATCCTGGCCCTGTGCGGGTTCCTGGTGGAGCCCTTCGGTGATCGCATGCTTTCTTTCCAGCCACTGTAGCCTGCAGATCAAAGCACTGGCCAAAATCCACGCCTTCGTTCAGGACATGTGAGTACTGCCCCGACTCCAGAGTGTGCCAGTACAGGGGGGCCTTGACTAGCCCCATCCCACCCTGTCTCACTTGCAAGCGTCGTGTCCCCCTCCTCTGCTGTGGGCTGCTGTGGGCAGCCTAGGGTGGGGCCTCGCCCTCCCAGACTTGGCCTGTCTTGGGAGACCTGACCAGAGCCGGCTGGGTGGTGCCAGTGTGCGCGTGTTCTTGCAGGCCCCTCCTCACCAGCTGGGATGGTAGGAGAAGACTGGGCGCGTGGGGCAGCACTGCCTCAGAGGTTTTAATCCCCGCCGGCTTTGTCTCCCCAGGACCCTGAGCGAGCCCCGGCAGGCGGAGATCCGGAAGGAGTGCCTGCGGCTCTGGGAGGTGAGCTCTGCAGCTGGCGGCCCCAACAGGAGCTCGAAGAGATGGGCATCTTAGGGTGCCCTGTCTGACCCCAAAGCTGGGTCAGAAAGGACAGGGATGAGCAGCAGATGGTTTTATTCTGCTGCTGCTGGCCCTGTGTAGCCACATGGATCACAGAGCCCAGATTAAAGGATGTGGCCTGACAGGCGTCAGCCTCCTCTCATGCTGTCTTCTTCCCTGTCCACTCTGTGTCCCCCGCCCCTGTAGCTGTGGTCCCCAGGGCCTGAAAATCACAGCTCTTTGTTACCTCATTCCAGATTCCGGACCAGGCTCGAGTTGCTCCTTCTTCTTCAGACCCAAAGTCTAAGTTCTTCGAGCTGATCCAGGTAGACGTGGGACCTGGGGTAGACATGAAAGGAAGAGCCTTGCTCGCGGTGTGGTGGACAGTGACGCTGGGGCCCACCTGCCTGGCAGGCACCACCGCAGGCCCTGAGGGCTGGGGTGCAGCAGCCACAGGTGGAACGTGGGGTACAGGTGTGACAATCTGGGGCCAGCAGCTGACAGGGCTCTTGCTCTGAGATGTGCGCATCCCCAGAGCGCCTGCCCCCCACAGTCTGGTGTAGGAGTCTGTTCTGGACAGTCACAGGCGGGGAGTCGCCTGGGGGCTGTGGTAGGTGACCTAACCACGGCCCAGCTCCTGTTTGAGCTGCGCCTGATTTCTTCTGTCTGCTTTTCCTGCTGCCGAAACCCTGGCTTTTCTAGGGCTTCATTCAAATTGGCCTGCGTTGTGGGCAGCTGAGCTGGTTGGTGGGGGTTGGGATTACACAATGAGGTCTAAGATAGACCTAGAAAAGTATCGTGTATTTTCCGAATGGGTGGACGAGGTCACCTGCCTGCTCTCCACCAGCTGCGGAGATGCCATTCTTGCTGTGTAGGAAAGGAGCAGCTCTTATGTCCTGGAAACATCTCAGTGCCTCCGCACGACAGTGTGTGCTTCAGGGCAGTGCCCTTCCCTTTCCCAGTCTCACCTACTGGGTCCTGAAGTGTGAGCTGATCCCGTTTAGTGCATGGCGAGGTAGTGCAGGGGTGTGTGTGCCTGGGCACAGGTGCTCCCTGTCCCTGGTCTCTCCTGAGGGCTGGCGCCTTCCTGGCCCAGCAGCATGTCCTCTGCTCATGGCTTTAGGGTGCCGAGATCGATGTCTTCAGCTACAAGCCCACCCTGCTTACTGCCAAAACCCTGGAGAAGATCCGGCCCGTGCTGGACTACCGCTGCATGGTGTCTGGCAGCCAGCAGAAGTTCCTCCTCGGCATGGGGGTAGGTCTGGGCCCAAGGGTTTCTGGAAACGGTTTCCTTTAATCCTGGGCTCCTGAGTGTGCTGTTATTCTTCTGTTTCTGGTGTATCCTCCTTCAACCCTGCACTGCTGATGGGAACACAGCGGCTTTTCTCCGGGTGTGGGCTGGCAGCATGGTCCACTGGCCCTCAGGCTGGAGCCACTTGCTGTCTTACAAGGCCCCTCTCCCCCACCCTCACCGCCCCTGGTGCTGTGGGAAAGCCTGGCCAGCTCTGCCTGCACCTTCCTACGTGGGTAAAGCTGTTGCCTTTCCTGCCCGCTGCTCCACCTACCTTGCTGTCCTGCGTTCTGTCACTTTCTTGTCCTCTTGCACCTTTTCTCCTTTACTGACTCGTCCTTCACCCCTCCCCTAGAGTTACCCTGAGGACCCTGTCACTGGCTCGGGTCATTTGAGGGGCACCCTGAGCCTATTCCCAAGCAGCAGGCCCAGGCCCTTCTGGCCCATCAGCCTGGTGCTACCAGCCCCAAAGCCCTTGAGAGACCCAAGCCCCTCTTCCTCCGCAGAAGTCCCAGATCTATACGTGGGACGGCCGCCAGTCAGACCGCTGGGTCAAGCTGGACCTGAAGACAGAGCTGCCCCGGGACACACTGCTGTCCGTGGAGATCGTGTACGAGCTGAAAGGGGAGGTCAGCAGTTCATTCTTATGGCTTGAGGGCCAGGCTTACTGCGTGTGGAGGACAGGGCCCAGACTGGGAAGCAGGAAGGACTGTCCCTGAGCAGCTGCCCTGAGCTACTGTCATCTCAGGATAGCCATAAGGAGAGAAGGCAGAGGGGCTGTGCCCTCAGGCGAGAGGCATGGGGCCCTCACTCGCAAGTGCAAGTGCTGCAGATCCTGCCCCGCTCAGGCATCCGGACCACTGTGGTTCTGGAAATTGTTGAAGGGAGACAGCAAGACTATTGGTGCTGAGCACCACTTTCCTGGGTAGAACAGAGGCCATGTGCCACTGTGGGCAGGGTCACAGCACTCTTCTTACAGGGGAAGGCCCAGCGGAAGATCAGCGCCATCCACATCCTTGATGTCCTCGTGCTGAATGGCAATGATGTCCGGGACCAGCATTTCAACCAGCGGTGGGGCCTGGGCCCAGGCGAGGGTGTGGGTGTGGGTGTGACTGGGCCAGGGGCTTGGACCTTCGTTATCAGATTCCAGCCCACTCTGCCCCACCACAAGTGGAAGACAGAGGAGACTCTGGTGGAAAGGGAAGGGTGATGAGAAACATAGCTAGGGCTGGCGCGTGAGTCGGGGTCCCGATCTGGTAGACACGTGTGACACTGCTGCGTGATGCTCGAGTGGAGGTGATTGAGAGATGCCCTGGTGGTGGTGCCCTTTGGGAGATGAGGCCAGGATGCTGAGCAGACACCGCAGGGTGCTGTCTGGGCCACAGGTGCTGCCTTGAGGGCAGCTCTGGCCTCTGATATGCTGTTCTCATTACAGGATTCAGCTTGCTGAGAAGTTTGTGAAAGCCGTTTCCAAGCCCAGCCGGCCCGACATGAATCCCATCAGGTGAGCCTCTCATCTTCCTCTTGTGTCCCTGTGGTGGCTCCCTTCTGTCACTGTTACTGCCTCTGTACAGGGAGGGTGGCTTGGTGTAGACTGCCCTTGGAAAGTGGCTGGCTTGCAGGTGCTGAGGAGGTGATCCTGGCTGGGGTGTCAGCCTCCGCTGCCTGGCCCAGCAGTAGACCACAGACCCATTCCTGGGGGGCAGGGTGGGCTTGTTCAGGATGCTGCATGTGCTTCCTCAGAGTGCGGACACTTTGGGTGTCACTAAGCTGTCACTTAGCCTTTTTTATATTGTGCAGGTAAGAAAAGGCCACTGAGTTCTAGAGGAATTTGAGTATGAAGCCAAGCAGAGTTGAAGGAATGGGGCCCTCAGCTTGGGGCCAGCCAGGGTTGGGGATCAGGCCCAGATGTTACAGAGGGCTCCCTCCGCTTTGCTCCATGGTGCTGGAGGTGACTATTGTAGCAGAGTCGTCTTCATGTAGATGCTGTTACTCAGATCCAGTACTGAAGTGCACTTTCTAGTGTCACAGGAAGTACTCATCTGCGCTGAGGCTTCTGCAACCAGGCCCTAGAAGGCAGTTAGCTCCGCTGCGTGTGGTCTGCTTGCTGAGTCCCTGAGTACCTTCTGCAGTTGCGGCTCTGGAGGCCATCTGGGCCCAGAAGTGGAGGGTTGGCACCCCCATAACTACTAGTAGCTGTTGCAGAAGGCCTCCGTCCACGTAGGCAGCCCCAGGCCATGGGCTGTCTGCTGAGAACCGTGCAGGCCACAGCACCTGGCCGCCACCTCTCTGGGCTGCTTGTTGTGGGAAGGCCCAGGCAGAGGTTAGGCCAGCTTGTGCCTGCCAGCTACTTCCCAGCCACTGTCCCCTTGTCCCTATCCCTGCAGGGTGAAGGAGGTATACAGGCTAGAGGAGGTAGAGAAGATCTTTCTCAGGTGAGTGACACCAGCGCAGTGCAGACATGGGAACTGGGCCCAGGGGCAGCAGCTGGGAGCTGACTCAGGGCCCCCCTGGAGGCAAGTTGAGTGGCGTGTCAGGCAGAAATATGGGTTCTGTAACGGTTACAACTACCCTGCTAGAGGCAGGGTGCAAAGCGGCTGGAAATGCTGTAAATCCCAGCTGCCAGTGTGGGGTTGAGCCTGGAGGGGTGGTAGGCGCCCACAGGCCCAGGCTCAGTGGGGCAGGACAGCTTCCAGCCCACTGTGCAGCTGCTGTCAGGTGTGGGCAGCCATGGGGTGAGTGAAGACCCACCAACACCCATCTTGGCCTTCCTGCTGTCACTCTGGAGCCCCACCAAGTAGCAGGAGCACAGTAGGGTCACCTGTCACTCCCCTGCGTGGTTGGCGGTTCAGAGCCTATATTCTAACCCTAGCACCACCTCCAACCCAGACTAAATGTGTGCCTCCATTTCTTGTGTCAGAGGGTGGGAATGTTGTTGGGGTGGCTTTGGCGTAGCCCCAGACTAATGTCACGGGGCCCTCTGTGTGTTACACGCTGCCCGCTTGCACACTGCTGCGGGGGAATCAGGCTGGAAATGAAGATCATCAAGGGCTCCAGTGGCACCCCAAGGCTCAGCTACACAGGGCGGGATGACCGGCACTTTGTGCCCACAGGCCTGTACATCGTCAGGACACTGAATGGTGGGTGACAGTGACTTCCTTGTCACACCCTTTCCCTGGCTAGAGTGACTGGCCTAGCCCCACCCTCTCAGCTATGGAGTTGCCTCTGGCTGGCATTGCTCTACTGTTTCTTAGGGCTCGATGTTCTATGAGCCTTTCCTGTTCTTTGTGGGCCTGGGATAGACTGGGGCAGAGAGGGGAGTGAGTACAGATAGTGCTCCAGCAGCAGCAGATGCAGAGGGCCTGCCCTCTGTCCGTCACCCCTGGAGGACAGCCGCAGGGCTGTTAAGGGTTACCTCTTAGTCACCCTCCAAGAGCCCCTCGGGGACAGTGGTGGGAGCCGTGTCCTGCCGAGTGCCAGCTATCTTCCTTCCATTAGAGCCATGGACCATGGGCTTCAGCAAAAGTGTCAAGAGGAAGTTTTTCTACAACAGGAAGACCAGGGAGTCTACGTTTAACATCCCCCCAGACTCCATCGCCCCGTTCCAGTGAGTAGCCCTGCTCTCCACGCTCTGCCTGTCCACCCAAGACTGACTGCTCACCGGCACACAGGGCAGATGTGTGGCTGCTGGCCAAAGAGCCATAGGCCCAACCCTTGGGATTCAAGGACCCAGCATCCATTTGCCAGATTGATGGTCATGGGTTCTGACAGCAGCCCTAACGTGCCTAAATTGGTCACAACCCCTTGGTTCCTTACCCCACTAACACAGTTGTACTAGAAAGGTACAGGCAGGAACCAGGACCGGAGCATCAGTCACTGCATGACCTGGATGGGTGTGATGAGCACAGCAGCTGTTGCTGGGAAAAGCTGCTTCTGGGAAGCACAGGGACCTCTGGGTGCCTGCTGACAGCTCCTCTCCCTCTCTTCCTCCCTAGCGTCTGCTACTTTAGCCGGCTCTTCTGGGAGTGGGGAGATGGCATCCGTTTGCATGACTCCCAGAAGCCGCAGGACCTGGACAAGCTGTCCAAGGAGGATGTCCTGTCCTTCATCCACATGCACAGCCACTGAGCCCCGCTGGGATGCTCCCGCCCACTGCCCTACCTCTCCCAGGCCAGGGCTCGCTGGGCAGGTTCCTTCTGCCTCTGTGAAGGGACTGGGGAGCACCAAGCCAGGGGTTGCAGGCGGGGCCTTCGGAGGACACATAGATTCCCATGCCGCCTGCTCCCCAGGCGGGTTTGAGGTCAGTGCCCAGAGGACAGGACAGAGTAGAGGGCTCTGGGTGCTGCCAGTTCTCTTGGGACTCCTGCATACTAGCTTTCTGGAGCTTGGCACTGCCCAGGGAGCCCAGGCCCCTGTGGTTTCTGGCCAGGAGCAGCTGTTGTACAAGTCAGTTTTGCATTTGCTGTGTTGATGCCAAGCTGGAGAAGACTTGGTCTCCGCTTCCGTTCACTCCCTTTCCTGCAGCCCAGCCCAGCCCAGCCCAGCCCTGACGGTCCTGGCAGGCCAGGACAGACGAGGGTGGACCTGACACCCCTTGGGCTCAGAGCTGTCTTTGGCACCGGCTGTGACTGTGGAGCCTTCCTGGGTCACTTTTAATCTAAAAGTTGGGCAGGTCAAGGAGGACAGGGAGTGGCCTTCAAGGCCTGCCTTTCCTCTTGCTTTGAAGCAGTGACCATCATGGTGGCAGAGGGCACCTTGAGTTTTGAGTGGTGTCCATCCTGGGGCAGCTGTATAGGCCGCTGCTGTTTTGAGCGGAGTTGCTCTGTACTGCTTCTGGGCCCGTGCCCCAGTGGCTGCTGCGTTTTCTATATCTTATAGGCACAAAGACAGGAGGAGAGCAGGGCCACAGCTCGGGGAGGCGAGGGCCCCCAGGTGGTTTTTAACAGGAAATACCTTTCCCAGATGCCCCCCGGATCCCTAGGCCCCAGCCCTGTGCCAGTCTAGTTTCCATGGAGCAGGGCCCGAGGCTCCCTGGAGGTTGGATGGACTCCACCAGCGGATGCCCAGGCAGAGAGGCTGGATTTCACCCAGCTCTGGGCTCCTCCATGTGTCCTGCAGAATCTTGGTTCATTAAAGATAAACATATTTTTAATGCCTGTGTGGCTCAGTGCTTTGTGGTCTGGCTTGGGGCAGAGGTGGAGAGAGAGCTCTCTTGAGCAAGAGAGCATTTGTTCAGTCAGAACAAACCCATGCTGCTGCTAGCAATCGGGACTCAGGGCCAGGGCCGCAGTTAGCAGGGATGGGGAATGAATAAACACAGCCCCGGGGGGTGGGGCAGCACCTTTCCTCTCCTACATAAATCACACAGCTCACATGGTGGCACTGTGACAACCCAGGACCAGTCTACGTGACTAAAATAAGAGGCGGCAGACCAATTAGTGGCACCAGACAGGGTCTGGAGGGAGAGGAGGCTGTGCTGCCCCTGCTGGGACCTGCCAGCCCCCCACCAGGCGCTACTGCTGTTCCCCGGCCCCAAGGGCCTCTTTGACATCTGCCCATCTGCAGGCTTGCACCTTGTCACTGCTGGCGAGTGGTGCCCGTGCCTCTGCCCTCCAGCCTCTTGCCGGAAGTGGAGTCTGGGTGAGGTCTCCATTAGCTCTAGCCTCCACTCCCTCTGCTCAGCCTGCCCCTCACCGCGAACCCCGCCTGATTTACTGGCCACTGTCACCATCAGTCTGTCTGGTCATTACCGAGGCCCCTGCTGCCCACGCATTCCAGGCCTCCGCCTGCCTGACACCGCCAGGAGATGGATGAACTCCACACTCCCGGGAGACCTACAGCCGACCACTTCAAGACCCAAGTGGCCCTTGCGCAGGCAGCATTTTTCTGCCATAATTATATGGTGTGTTCAGTAGGGGTAGAAGATGGTACAGTGGCTGCCTATCTTCCCTTCTGAACGGCACACCTCAAACTTCAGAATCTCTTCTCCAGCCCTCATTGCCCACCCTGCTGCCCTGAGCTACAACTGGACCATGACATTTACTCAGCTCAGTGGATGGTGGCCTGATGTTCTTTATTGCCTGTTGCTCAGGCTGAGGGAGAGCCAGCACCCTCCTTCCAAAACCTGGGCCCAGGCCACGGGGACTCAGCTGAACGCCCAAGTGTGCATGGTGCTCGGAAGGCTTCGAGGGCCCACTTGGTCCGGAAGAACCCGACTCACATGGTCCAGTGTGCGTACAGCAGGGCCAGGAGGAGAAAGATGGCCACCGAGAGCAGCATGTTCTTCTGGTTCTCCTGCCGAAGCAACTTCAGCTCCTTCTCTGGAGGCAAAAGGGTGAGGGGCGTTGACAGGTCGGCCAGTCCCTCTACTGCTTCCACTTTCCTGCACAACGCACGTCACTGAAGGCACAAGTGACCTCAGCCTGTCCAGACTCTCACATCCTGTCAGCTCCAGGTTTTGGCATCTTTATAAAAGTCCCCCAGTGCTGCTCAGCCATTCTCTTCAGATGCAGTTCAGGGTGAGGCTGGCTGTGTCAAGCTTTGTGGTGTGACATCACTGGGTGCATCCCCTGCCCTGCCCTGGCCTGGCTCCCCTATGTTTCTGCCAGCTGCCCTGCTCTCAGGAACTCAGGGTGCTAAGAGCTGCAGTCTGCACCACGTGGTCAGTTTTAAGTCTAGAAAAGCCAGCCCTGCCACTGGCCAGCCATGTGATGTACAGTGCTGAAATGAATGGTGACACCAACTCTGGATGAAACCTGATGCCCGACCCATGAGGGATGGGCGTGCCAGAGGCTAGACCCATGTGCTGATTCCCAATGGCCTTCTGGGCCAGGGAGATAGTTTAGTGGAATAAGTGCCTGGCTGGCAAGTGCAAGGTCCCGAGTTCAATCCCTAGTACAAAAAAGAAAGAAAGAAACCCAATGGTCCTTCTGTCCCCTGGAGAATGAAAGGGAACCTGCAGAGTCCCTGCTGACAGTCTCTCCTGACCTCAGCGGGTGACTGATGCCAGGGCTCTCCCTGGCTGTGCCAAGTGCCCAGAAGGTGGCGGCAGAGCTCCACAGATGGGAGCCCTTCCACTCAAGGGCTGTCTTATGTCTGCCTAATCTCACCAGGAGGTTCCCCAATTGGGGGAGGGGGGAATCAATGTCTGAGGTCTGAGTGGACCAGCATGGCTACACCCCATCACCCTAGAGAAGATAGCCATCTGAGGCAGTCCCCTGGGACACAGAAGCACTGGGAATGCTCCCAGGCTGCTGGATTGCTGAAAGAACTGCCTTGCTCCCCACGGTTCCATCATCTCTCCAGCTGTCTGACCCTCTCAGCCTCAGGGGTGACAGGTCCCCACAGGTAACCGAAGGGAATTTACCATAGTTGGAAGCTCTGTTCATTAGGCTGTTCCTCTCCTCCTCCAGAGACTTCCTGGGGGGGGGGGGGGAAGGGGAAGGCATTTTAAAGCACAGGTCCTTCTCGGGTCCCACCAGGGGGAGGGGACAAGGGCTTAGGTATTAACGGACAGGAACAAAGGTCTCATTCACTTGGGGGCCCTGGACAGATGCTGGGGCACGGGTGTTACCTGTCCTCGGGGCTCAGCTCTGCCCTGTGGAGCCGGCAGCTCACAGCCTCCAGGTCCCGCCGGCACTGGGACAGCTTCTCCTCCAGCCCATCGATCTGAAACACACAGTCCCGGCAAGCTTGGGCACTTCTGGGGGCAGGTGCTGCAGTGCAGCCCACGCGTGAGTCTACTGGGGAGGGGCCAGGCTTGCCCTCCCCACGGGCCTGTTTTACTGTCCTTTCTCCACCGTATGCTGCAGCCTGAGCCCCTGGAAACAGCTCTCAGAGCTGTCCCCGCCTCTCACCAGCACAGGTGGGGGTGGAGGTGCAGGCCCCTTGTTGGCACACTGACAGCGGGGCCCACAGAGCGCTGGACATGGCAGGCACCTCCTGTGAGGTAATGAGGCTGGAGCAGCACTTCACGCTCGGGGGACCACCAGGGCCAGAGGAGGAGGAACTTTCCTCACTGACACCAGTGCAGTCTAAGTTTAACAATAGAGATTCAATAAAAATTAAGAAAAGCAACTTAAAACCACTTGTATTTCTTTTTGACTTGGTTCTTGGGCAAAAACATTGCCCATCATCAAGATAGCTGTAAGTTGTGTGGTAAAATAGCTAAGCTCTTGAAAGGAAGGCTGCAAAAAGGATCTTCTTTATTTGTTTTTATTTTTTATTATTTTTATTTTTTGGAACCGGGGATTGAACTCAGACCCTTGCATTTGCTAGGGAAGTACTTATTCCACTGAGCCATCTGCCCGGCCCCTTCATTTGTTTTTAATAGTTTCAGAGCTGTTTTCTCAGGGAAATGTCCGAGTGGAGGGAAAGCATTCTGTAATGCTCCCTGCCCAGTGGTCTGAGCCTGTGTTTGGCCTTGCATGTAGGAATCCATCGCCATGCGACCTCCACCTCTGGCTCACACATGGGCAGCCAGGCTGCCCCGCTGGGTGACTTCTGATCAGTCAGAGCAGCGCCCTCTGCTTCGAGGTCCCAGCCAGTTCTCCACTCGTTCCTTCCTGCAGCTGACCCTGCAGTCAGGAGCCCTGCTCCGGGGGACGGGTGTCCAGAAAGTCTGGGCCCCTGCCACTCCCTCTCTTCTTGAGGCCTGGTCCAAACAAAACTACAACCCTTGCCTGAGGGGCCCTGAGGGAGGCAGAACTACAGAGCCTGCTGATAGGCCAGTTCCCTGCCAGCAGGGACCCAGAGGGAGGCTTGGCCTGGGTGATCCCTGCCAGCAGGGACCCAGAGGGAGGCTTGGCCTGGGTGATCCCAGCCAGGAAATGGGGCGAGCCTTCTTGCAGCTAGCTGTCCAGCAGGGAAAGGCACGCTGGGGCCAGGTCTGGGGAGAGAACAGCTCACACCAATGCTCCTGGCTATCACACTTTCAGCCCTCCACTGAGCACAGTCCAGAGTCTTTTTTTTTTTTTTTTCCTTTGGTGGAACCAGGGATTGAACTTAGGCCCTTAGGCTTGCCAGGGAAGCGCTTATTCTACTGAGCCATCTCCCCAGCCCCAGCCCATGAGACCTGCTGCTTCTACCCCACAGCAAAGAAACCCAAGCAGGACTCCAAATAAAGCTTCATTTGACACTCTACCTCCTCCCCAAGGCCATCTCTGCTGCCCGAGGCTGGACACACTCCTCCTCTGGCAAAGCCACCAGTCCTCTCAGGATCCTCCTCGCTGGGTCCTGAGCTGAGCTTCACAATGGTGCCAAGTGGCAGCCCACAGGTCATACCTGACCACGGGCTGACCCATTTCACTTGGGCCTGTGCCCTGGCCACCAAGGCCAGAATCTGCAGCTCCTAGGATTACACCACAACCCCTCTCTGTGCCCACCGGCCTGGCCTGCTCAGGAGGGTGTCTCTGAGGCTCTGGGACAAGTGGCTGTCTCATGTGGCAATTGCAGTCTGGAACCCTCCTCTTGTGCCCAGAGCCGGGAGGAAATAGGCATAGGAACCAGGCACTTGGCAGGCTACACAGCGCAATCTTAGCAAGTCCTTCTGGGGAGGGAGAAGGTTGGGGAGGGGGTTCTGCCCCAAAGACATCCCTGGGAAAGCTACCAGGTACCCAAACTGGTGGTAATTGTTCCAGACCAAGGCCAGGAAGTCACGGTAAGCGAAAGTCTGGCAAACCACAAGTGGCCAAACCAATCTGCCATTGTGCCTGGGACAGCGCCTGAAGAGCTGGTGGGGGCCTTTATCTGCACAAGGACCATTTATTTGCAGAGCCACTGAATAGCCCCTGCTTTCATTTGCCACTTTTAATGAGGGTTGAACGAGTGAACACAAATCAAGGTTTTAAGGACTCAAGTTCTAACCTCCCTCCATGAGTATTTATGCCCTGCTGACAGCTCTCTGATTCCTTTCTAAATAGCAAGTCCCTTTTATTATATCCCCCCTCACCCCTCCCACCTGGCTGCAGGCTGCAGGCTGCATGAGGCTGGCCACAGACCCCTCTCAAGGGTGGCACTGCAGGGTCCCAGGCCTGGGTTTGGCTCAGGAAGGTGGCCCACACCTGGCAGTGGCAGCTATGTGGCCTGGGCAGGTGGGAGGGACGTCAGCAGCAGGATATGCAAGGGGGCTGGGCCAGTGGGGGGGCTCAAAAAGGGGGAGAGCATCCAGAAAACAGGCTGGGCGAGGCTGCCCCTGGATAGCTCTTCAGTCTGCCCCCAACTCTATGCACATGGATTTCACACACTGTGGCCCAGGTCAGCATCCTCCCTGCCACCAGGCTGAAGGCAGCGAGATGCCAGGTCCAGAAGACGTGGAGGTGAGGACTAGGATGCCACAAAGGTTCTAGTAACATAAGAGTCAGAGCTGCCTGGCAGTCAGCAGATGGGGTGCCCAGAAGCCTGAAGTTGCGCTGCCTACGGCTGGTGGTAGGCACGTGGGCTGGAATTGGGGCCCTGGCTGTCACTCACTTCCAAGTGACTGGTGAGTTTCAGAGCCTGCTCCTTAGCAGACTCAGGTGAAGTACAGATAACCATGGTTCACAGCTCAGAGAGCTGTTACGAGGATGATGTGATGGTACAGGGGCTCGGAACACTGCCTCACGAGGAGGAGTTCAGCAAGTGTCTCCTGTTGTTACTGCAGTGGTTTTGCTGGATCTTTAGGGAATAAAAAAGGCTGAGTAGAACCAGTGAGATAGCTCAGCAGACTAAGTGCTTGCTTAGGCAAGCACATGGACCAGGAACCAGGGACCAGGGTTCAATCACCAACACCACATGCAGTGCTGGCTCCGCTCCACCCCTGGGCACACTGAGCCAGCCACTGAGACCAGATACCAGACATGGTGGCACACGCCTGTAATCCCAGCGCTGGGAGGCTGAAAGCAGGAGGATCACCTGTAGGAGCTGTGTAGAGACCCTGTACCAAGTATATTAAATTTAATAAAAATTAAAAAAAAAAGAAAAACAAAAAGGCTGAATAAAGGATGGCAAGAGGAGACAAGGTGCAAAGCCGGGACAGGAGGTGGCAGAGGCCTGCATCTGCCATTCCTTCCTCTCTGGAGGAACCAGGGCATGGGCCCAAGGGACAGCAGCTCCAGTTACTCGGGACATGGCACGCTAGGAACCTCTGTGGTCCTGCCCAGGAGTGGGCCAGGGCCACAGGGCAAGGCCAGGCCTGGAGGAGACTGAGGCCAAAGGTTTGAGCAGTGTCCCGGGCAGTGCAGGCTCCACTGAGGGCCAAAGACCTGCCAACGGAAAGCAGAGGCCCGCTGCCCAGGGTGCTGGGAGCCGGCACAGGAAGTCAAGCGACCAGGCCCAGCCAAGGGGGCTGCAAGGCTCCACAGCAGGGAGGGGCCACTCTGAAGGCTCTACTGCCTGCTGGGACTTCTGTCTGGCAGGCTGCAAAGCAGCCCACAGCGGCTCATATGCTGGAACTTACTGGAAGCTAAAGGAAGCAGCACTGCTTCCATGACTGTCACAGGCAGGGCAGAAACAGCCAAGAGCAGCCTTGTTGAGGCACTGTGCGGGCAGAGTGCGTGGCCCGATGGCCAGCGACACACTCGGAAGCCAGGGGCAGTCACTACAAGGGAAAGAGCTTGGCCTCCAAGTCACTGAGCCAGCAGGTGAGGTGGGGCTGCAGTCACCAGAGGACACGGGGCCCCAGGGAGTACAGGCGGCAGCGTGGGCGCCCTCTGCGAGCCGATGGTGCCTCTGTACCTGTGCAGATGAGGACTTCCTGGGTGTCCTGTATTCCTTGGAACACCACGATGCGAGTGGCTGAGCACAATCTTGAGCCAGAGGCCAGCAATGGGCAGGCCTTGCCCATGGGAGGAGAAAAGGGCAGGGAAATCAAGGCAGACTAAGTAGGGCGTGGGGGTGGAGAACCGCAGCATGCCCTGCTGCTGAGCTGCGACCTCTACCCAGACAGGAGGGGCGGGGCAGGGAAGGGCGCCTCCTCCGAGGACATCTACAGGCCCTGGCTGAGCAGGCTGGAGCGGCTGCTAGCAGGTGCCAGGGAAAGGAGGCTTCCCAGACACAGGGCAGGAAGCCTGGCTTCCTGGAGGCTGCCCAAGCCTTCCTTGCCCTGTGGCTCTGAAGCTCGGCAGCCTCAGGCCAAATAAGCAGGGCCCCTCTGTGCTGCCTGTTTGGGGAACACCACCTTGCTCTCACAGCTTTAGGGACTTCTCCCTGGGGCCCTATATACCATAAAGCCACTGTGTTAAGAGAAATTGTAAAATTCGCCTGAAATCCCCGAGAGGCATCTTTTCAGGAGCACAGAGCCTGCAGGAATCAGAGCCTGAAAGCGGCCTCAGTGCAGATGGAACCTTGTACCACCGGCTCGCAGATAAACGGCAGCTGGGCACAGGGGTCAGGCGGCCTGTGGGCCACACGGCTTGCATGTGGCTTCTACTCTGCTCACCAGCTCGGGCCAAAGGCTGGCATGGGCGGACTCCCCCTGAGGTGGCTGACCACCGGTCACACCCAGCATCTGGGCAGCGAGGAGGGAGCTCAGGTCAGCCCCAGCAAGCCGCAGCGGGGGCCAAATGGCCCGGTGTTTTCCAGTCCAGGAAGAACTCTTCCTGTGCACGGGGCCCTTACTCCCAGGGGCTTCTGGTTAGTAAGTGGCACAGGTTTGCCCCCATCAGGCAGGGTCACAGACTGCTGTGGACTAA